GAACTATAATCCCATTTGAAAGTTCAGTTTTGTGCTAGCTGTCCTCCTTGGCTTGAGGTAGCATCCACTACTCAAACATATACTCAAATACTCAATGGCTTTTTATGCCATAAACATGAGTTTGTTAAAGCTAGACACTAGCAAACTTGCCAGACCCAAGAGAAACTGCACTTCAATGATAATGAGTTAGTTAGAGCTTGAATTTCAAAGGGGCTGTGCACCTACAACTCCTATTGAAGCCAATGGTAAAGCTTCCATAGGCTTTAACAGCACAGGATCAGACTCAAAAGGCATTATTAACAGGATACAAATTAGATAAATATGGAGGAGCAGATGCTAGTCTCAGACTCATGTGATGTGCTTCATGTAGCTGCATGCTAATGAAGCGTTTTAAAGCACAGAAACAATATCTATGTTGAATGTACAATGATAGTATTAAATAAAGTAGGACATTACTAATTACATCTTTTTTTTTCCCATTCTACCCTAAAATAACTTAATTTACACCTTGGCAGAACTGACATTTCTGGGATAATTTTCTAAAATGGATTGAAAAAAACCCCACTTTGTATAATAGTGTAACTGCAGCTTGTTATTATAATGTTAAAAATACACTGGGGAGAGAGTGCTCTTTGCTTAATGTTTTCTATCTCCATGGTGATTTTAGTGGTCCAAATCATCTCTTTGACCCTGGTCCAATGAACTACTTAAGCTGATACTTAATTCTAGAGACATAAGTAGTCCCACTGACTGCCGGGGGGAATCTCAATGGGTTTATTCACATGCGTAAATTGAAGGCTATAGTTCAGTGAACGGCTGGCTTAGGGTCTCATCTGGTTTATTGCTGAAGCGGAGACTAGGACATCTGTAGCCTGAACTCGGCTTGCACCAGATGTGCCTTTAGATGAGGAAGGTTTCTTTACTGCAGAGTAATAATGGAGGATGATCCATGAAACCTACAGGAGGGACAAGAGAGAGTCTACACTCAAGAATTACACCGGACAAGCCACTGCTGTAGCCTGTTGCATCCAGGGGACACTTAAGGCACGTGGACTCAGCATGTGAGGTCTGGTGACTGTTTACCTGGGAAAGTTTTCGTATTTCTGATATTTAGCTCTTTCAAGTCCTCCATACTGCCTGTGGATGGTGCAAGCCATCGGTCAACCTTTTCCTTTTCCAGGACAGGCATCATCCATATCACAAGTGAAATAATCTTGGTGATTTCATTTGGCAAAGACTGTGCTCTACTGTACCTAGACTCCTGGTGGCCCCGAGCAAACTTTTAGTATTGGGTCCCCCTTCACCAGCGATAATGATAATAATAATAATTAACAAATTACCATTTCTGGGCCCCGGATGGCTGTCCTGGTTTGCCTGTGTTTGGCTCTGGCTCTACATCCCAAGTAATTAGGAACCCTATGCAGCAAAGTGTCTGCTTAAAGTCCCAAGTAAACACAGATGACCAAACCGAGCGTGTATGGGAGAAGTGATGCTCCTTCGGCAAAGTTGCTTTGGCTTTCCCTAGCATTTAGGAAATAAAATGTAATGTTTCAAGTGTAAAATGTACAGGGAAGAAGATAGCTAGTAAGGCACCTATTTTGGATTAAGCTTTCTTTTGTAGGTGTTTATTAAATGAGAGGTGAGAATCCTACATTTGTGCAACACTAAATCTGTACATGTGGGCTCCGATCCAGAAAAGCTCTTAAGCAGTACTTAATTTTAAAGACCTGCGTAGTTTCAAGTAGCATTAAGCAGCCAAGATAATGAAAATGTTACGTTTTATAAAGCAACTCTGACCTCACTCACATTGTGCTGTCACAAACCTTTGTCATTTGTGATATGAGCACGAGGCAGCTGTCCCTCATGAGATCCTGACTGTTATCGAGTACTTACATAAAGAGGCCTGAGACCACGTTCTGAAAGTTTTGATGAGGCCTGAACGAGTGGAGGGTTGGTCATCTTTCATTAACATTCATCGCCACCTTCACTTTAGCTTTGCTTGTCGCAGAGATGGTAACAAAGCTTTGTCAGAACTCAAAACAGAAAAGCACGAATACATTAATGCACACGCAGGAAAGAAACCATCTTTATCAAATCGCTATTCCTCCGTGACCGCACCTCAGCAAATGGAGTGATATAAATACTTAATACACGTGTCACTCTGTGTAATGAGTATCTGATTCATCTCGATTCATTGTATATAATTAGGTCAGAGCTATAATCCCTCTTTTTACACGACACCAGAAATTAATCAATATGGGTAGCAATGCCTTAAACTTGCTAAAGCTTTCCATATGTCAGGGATGGCTTGTAATGCTTTTTATTGGAAGATTATAGTATTAAAGGGGAACATTAACTGTTGGTATTCCACGGAGAATTTATGATAGCTGTTTCCTAGGAAGGAAAGATAATGGATATCTAGAGCTGCCAAGGAAAACCTCTAACATTTAACAACCCAAATCAATCTTAATTAGTCTACAGCCAGAGTAATGATTTGATTCAACTAAGGCTTATTCTGGACCTGTATCCAACTCATTTGCAAAATGTTCAAACATATAGATTTATTGTAATAAAGACAAGAACTTGTCAGTGCTAGTTTTCTTACCTGTTTCTGTAAACAGAGTCCACATTTTTAATATTAGTTTTTCTAGCTTCTGACAGCAAGGGAGAAGACGGGTAAGCATACATACAGCTTCCACGGAAAGTCATTTTGAAAATGTCTTTACAGTTGGCCAAAAGATTTCAGTGACATCTGCAACTACTTGCGTGTCACTACCTTACTTCTGATATCAAAGTGAAGTGTCTATCCTTTTCAGAATGTTTAAAACCCACAATGGCTCATGGGATTCATACCGATCAGGGAATGCTTGTCTAAGGCTTTTTTAAAAAGCTTCAGTTAAATAGGCTTTGGGCACATCTTTAAGACAAAAGAACCCTTCCTACTGAATTTCATTGCAACTTGGATCAAACCCTTATGTCCTACTGAAAATACTGAATGCGTTTCCTCAACTGCATACCTGCCCGAAGACTAATTCTGTATTTTCTGTGCATTCTATATCTCTATTATAAAATGTATCCAGTTGTATTGGACCCATTCTTGCTCTCCTGCCCAGACCTTCTTCCTAGATTTAAGCTGTTTGGGATACGTACTGTTTTTCTGTGTCTGAATGGGACCTAGATGTTGACTGGGGCATTGCGATGATATGTTGCCATTACTGGTGCTTATGGAAATGTGGCCTATGTAATAACTGCAGGATTAAACCCACCCACCCCACTCTGTTTCTAGATTATAGGACAGTATACTATAAAAACAATTTAAGCATAACCAATGCACCTTTAAATAAAACAGCAATTTCCCCCCCCCAAACCATACAAGGAATAACTTCTCCAAGAACAGTCATTTTAATAAAAGTCACAGAATACAGACGTGTTGGCCACTGAAGGCAAACACCCAAGGAGATAGGTACCAATAAGTACAGTACACACGATGGTTCTCATCACAAGTACCTTTAGACATCTAACCATTCTTCTCTACTACATGAAGGCTGAAGGAATGAGCAACTGTGACCCCATCTGGCAAAGCAAAGTAGCTCCAAATATGCAAACTCATTCACTTGTTTAGAACATATTGGGCATGATTCCCTATCCACTGCTTTTTTGTTTCTGAAGGCATGCTCGTTATCTGGCAACTTGCAGCTTGTTACCTGGCAACTTGCAGCTTCAACGAGGTCCAGTCATTAAGAAATGAATCTATTTCCACAATTTCCTGGATACTGGCTAAAAACTGAGGGTGGTCTTTCTTAGAAGGCAAACCTTAATTGGAAAAATAGCATACCCAAAATAAATCAGTTCCAAGATATTTCATGTTTAATTGAGGTTCGTGTACCACCAGCAGCAGGAGTACTAAAGGGAGTGTGTCCTAACTGAATTTTGATTTGTATGCATGCTTTGACAACTTATGCCCAATATATAGCAACATGGTGAGCATACTTTAATGCTGATGCTGGAGTTGATAAGATATTAGAAGTGCAAAGCTTTATCACTTCCAAAAACCATCATTTAAAAAAAAAAATTCATATTACATAAAAGGCAAAACAGAATATAGAATTTTTCACAATATTAACACTAACACAGCTGAGCAGTGAAATGGTTCCTTCTGTAGTTCAAAGCCTCAAAATAAAACAGAGGCAGACACAATATCTTCATTATTTGCACAATTTAAAGCTGTATTTCAGCAATCTTTGTATATGCAAGGTAAGGTAGCAAGAAAATAAAATGCTTAAAATTCCAAGAAGAGTGTTTAAAAGCCAGTTACGTATTTATCTAAACTACCTGCAAGTCTTACTGAAAGGAAAGTATTTTTTTTTTTTAATTTTTAATTGAAACAATTATTTAGTTTCAAAATTAGTAAGACTTGGTTAGCTATGGTTTTTGCACACAAAACAAGAACAAGACATTCTGTATATCAGTTTAGAAAGCGTTCACAAGAAAGCAATATTCAAACGTTTCTTTTTGAATTTACATCACAGTAAACATTAAGAGTAATTCAATAGGTGCACTGAAATATTTCAGTGTCTGCTTTAAATAGTATCATGTTTCATGAACTTGCAACTTCTCATATGTGGCCGAGACAGTTTAAATGCCCAATTTGAAAAATTAAAACAGAAATAATTCAGTCACTAATCGCAGGTTAAAAATAGCCATAACATTTTGTAGAAAGTACAGTTTTACTATCATCCTCCAAAGAACAGAAGTATGACATTTAATTAAATTAATACAATGCTTCAAACTGTTCCCTGCCCAGCAGCCCATATCAACCAGTATTCAAGGAAACTGTTTTATGTCTGCTGATGTAAATCATCTTCCTTTATTCTTCCAAGGATGAGTCCTGGCATGTTTACAGCAACACCATAGTAGTATTGGTTATAAAGGTCAGACTCCCATTTCCGAGTGAGGAGCAACCTTATCGGTC